GCTCGCGCGCGGTGCTGCGGCCTCGACGGTCCGCTCGGAACTGGCGGCGCCGCGCCCGCGCGCCGACCGCGCTGCGCTCTGGCGGCGGCCCGCGCCATCGCGTGCTGCCCGCGCCAGAGCCATCTGTCCGTGGGCCGTAGGCACCGTGTGAAGGAAGACAGGAGCCCGGGGCGGCGGACCCAGCGCCCGGGGTGCGCCAGCGGAGCTGCTCTCGCCGGCTGCTAGCCGCTCGCAGTTCCACGCAAAGCCACCGGCTCCAACAAAACGCCATATTTTGGAGTTAAATAAAAGGTGAGGGGTGGAATATTAAAAGCATGTCAGAAATGTTATTTCGAATGTATACATTACTACCCATTACGTCATATACGAATTATTTTAGAAATGTACATACGATTTTATAATTGAGAAGAGTTTGTCTCAGGTGAATTATGTCCTAAATTGTACATATGAGAAACAACCACTATGAAATGTCCACTAAATGAATAAATGTTTGTATATGAATCATGACATTACCTATTATCATATCTATACATATATTTCGGATAATTTGATATAATTATGAGACCCCTAGTCCCTGTAGGACAACTAGATGCTTAACCAATTGGTTATTAACTCTTTATCTCATATCAAATAAGAAATGTTTCAGTGTTATGCAACTTTTTTATCTCAAAATAAGTAGTTAATATACGCAGCGCTATCAGTGACACTAATTGTTCTATACAATACATAAATTGAACATCAATTATATGCAGTCTCTGGCACAGTACCATTAACAAAAGGCTATGAAAGGCAAGCTCTCCTCTCTTCCGAGTTTGCTCTTGCCTTAATTATTACGGCCAGACTTTGAGCTGTTTCTTCGTTCTCGTAGGACACCTACTCCACAAAGCTGAAAGATTGCTAATTCTGCGGGTGCTGATGAGCAAGACCCATAATGGGGTTCTAGAGCAACCATGTACATGTGTCTCACAACGTATAAAAGAATGGAATTGGACTGTATATGCAGTGGTAGTATACATACAAGAAAGAAGACAGATACCGTTAGGGTTATTTGAACGGATGTGGGTAGCAGAGTATTTCATACAGTGATAACAACCCCAAATTATTATAAGAATTTTTCATTATCATTCACATTTATTTGACATTTATTCTCTTCGAATGCACTAACATTTGCAAAAGACTCATACACTGTGCATGAATAATGAATATTGAAGAGCTGATACTTCTGAAGACTTTCTGGCAGTATAGGTTGCCTAACATTGATTGCATTCCAGCCCGTTCGACAGTTCTGCTCAAGAACAAGACACAATTTCTTTCACGAAAATTGTACTTTGTATGGGATACAAAGTTCCATTACATACCTCGTGAGTATTCACAGTTTTTAACCATTTACCCAAATTACTATATGAATTACAGTTTGTGTACTCGGCACTTTTTAAATATACATTAAAATGGTATGCACAGCAGTGCTAAAGCGAGAATTTCCTAAAAGATAGGTACGTGACACGTGTATAAGTCATGCATTTGATCTGCTATCTTGCTTCTGCAGTCGCAACACAGAAAGCGCCTCATTAGACAAGACAAGACCAATGGCTTGTAAATAAAATGTTTTTAAAAATCATTTAATATACGATGGGGTGCAAGAAACACAGATATTGAAATTTCTGTATGTAATAAGTGATATTTCTTTGTCTAGTGATGAACCATTTTGTAAGGAATTGTTTTATCCCTATTTAATGACGCACTATAACCCACTATACGAGCATTTGCTGCTAAACTGAATATTCGCAAACAAAAATATTAAAAATGATGTTTTGACAACTTCTTGGAAAAAGATTTCCTCTCGTGATATTACTTGTAATTATGGCGTTCGCTAAAATCATCAATGCAATAATATTACCATCAGCGCTTTGACAAACAAAAACGTTAATGGAAACAAAATAAATTTTAAATTGACCAATACAAAAACATTGTATACAAATGTAATTATTTCTAGTAGCTTTAAGCTGCAATTTTATTCTCTTTTAGATCTGTTAGTTGAAATAACAAAAACATGAATAATGATATATATATATATATATATATATATATATATATATATCATTTTGTAAGGCATTGCGACACAACAGATATAAGTAAATATAATATAATCCACCTTAGGTCGAGAGATGAGTGCTGCTCTCACTTTCAAATTTTCTAGCCCTTACTTGGCGATCAATTTACTTAACGGATTGTAATTCTCTAAAAATGTTATTGAAAATCTAATAATGGAAGGAACTTAATTAAATCAGTTATTTTAACAATCTTGCAAACTAGGAATTGTAAAGTTGTGGGAAAACAACAAAAACTAAATAATTAAGAACATAGAAAACTTTTCTTGTTTTTCTTATTTCTGATGCATAAATCCTATTGAGAATGCCATGGAGACATGTAATTTATATGTAGCAGTAGTGCAATAGTCGCTGGACTTATTTTAAGGTTTATGACTTAAGGGATTTCAAAAACTATCAGGAATATTTTACCTAAACATGTAAATAAATACACATTTCAGGTTCAGTATGTAATTTGACACATTCATTACAATATTATCTGTGAAATGAAAATGTGTTTCTACATCAAACATGTTACATGTGACACAAATAAATGTTTAAAATATTGAAACATATGGTTCTATGATACATAGGAATATTCCGTATTGAACATCCCTTCTAATAAATCTCGTGACAGAGAGATATTATATATATATATATACACACCCTTGGGAGTGGATGACTTACCAACATTGGCGGAAATGTCTGATATATCTACGGTTACCACGATACCGCGTGAAGTAAATGGACGAGAAGCGACCTCGAGCCCTTTGGTGAGCCTGCAGAACGCCCAAGTTGATAAAAATGCCGGGGAGGAATGCCCGATACGAAGACTCAGTCAACAGACCGATCTTCTAAGAGATATGAGGGAAACAATCTCCGAAATAGGAAAAAGACTTGCGTTCATGCATTCCATCGTTGCCGACGCGCCCAATAACCACAAGCCCGTGAAAGCGGCACTAAATGAGGCCATGATATTATTTAAGAAATTGACGAATAAGAGCAGTGCGATCATCGAAACTGGATCAGTTCGAGAACAAGTGTGCAGCAAGGAGACACACATAGGTAAGAAAATAAAAGAAACCGTGCCGAAAAAGAAAAATGGCCAAAGGAAAAGAAAGTCACCTCGAGGGGATGGCCAGAGAACGGAACCTTCCGAATCCCGCACAAGGAAAGTAGATGAACCCAAAGCACACGGAATAAGCGAAGACAAATGAACACCTCCATCCGGAAAGCGAGCAAGAAGAAGGCTGGCAAGAAGTCCGAAAGAAATCAAAAAAGAAGAAAAAATAAAATAAAAACGATGCCATCAAAGTGGCATTAAAAGTGGGTATGTCATACATTGATATCTTTAAAGAAGTCAGCGCAAAGATGAAACCCAAAGAGAGTGGGGCTGACATTAAGATGATGAGGAAAACTAGAAAAGTCGTATACCTACAAGAGAAAGGATTCGTCCTACAAGAGAAAGGAAAAACAAAAGAATTCCACATCTTCAAAGAAACCCTGTAAGGTAAAGCGGATGTAGCGGTCCTAACCAAGCAGTCGATCACCATCGTCATTGAAGACTTAATGGAGTTCTCCACAGAAAATGACGTGACGAAAGCCATCCGAAGGGGCACCAGATCTGGAGATGAACTGCTATTTAAGGAAAGAGTACGCCGGCCTATAGTCGGCAATAGTCAAATTGCCGCAGTACTTGGCCACAGTTCTTCTCCAAAAGCAGAAAATAGTAATACATATGGTCTACTGCAGTATCACTGTACGGAAGGAGGTGATCAGATGTTACAGGTGTCACGCATATGACCATATAACTAAACGACGCAACGGACCAGACAGGAGAAGCCTGTGATGGAACTGTGGAGAAGGAGACCATCAAAGAAAAGAGTGTACCACGG